CATTAACAGCAACACCCAAAACCAACAGGGGGGACAGGCAGCCATGCGCGCCTTTTCTTCCGCCTCGCTAACCCGTCCCTTGAAGAAACGCCTTAGAGGCGCCCGCGGACACTGGAGGTCTTTGCGGCTGTTTTTGCGTCCGGCAAAAGGCTCACCGTCAGCAAGCACATCGCTTGGGCTGAAGCGTCCGCCAACCTCAAGTGCAAGGACAACCAACCTGCAGCGCGAGTCAGGCCGCACCCTCCGCTCGGCAGCGCCCAAAGAGGAGACAAGCGTGGTGTCGACGGCAAGTCGCATACCTCCCAGCAAAGGCAAGCCTTAGCGATGACCTCAATCCTCCGGTCATCAATGCTCCGGTCATCTCTGGCACGCTGCGGATGTTGAGGTTTTTGATCCAAAGCCTCCGCCAGCAAAATGAGAAGCATTGACCGCAGGCACTTGGCTTTCTGCAAGTGGGGGCCTGAGGGACGGTCAGCCACTGCTTGCTTAGGAAGTGCAGTTCCCACAAGCGCTGGCGAGGTGCAAAAAATTGGGTTAACCACTGCCGGTCAGAAACAGCAGCAGCAGCAGCAGCAGCAGCAGCAGCAGCAGCAGCAGCAGCAGTAGGAACGACCAGAACGTGCCAGTCGATGCCAGGATGGCCACACAGGGCGCCAAAGTATCAAAAGCTGGTTGCTGGTTGGCCTTGCCTGCACAGGGCGCATTGCATGTGTCAGCCGCGGCAGCCTAATAGGTTCGCTGACCGCTTGTTTCTTCGTGTCGGGGGACGCGCCCGGCGCTGTTCTTGCACAACGCCTTGAGTATGAAGCGGCTTCAAAGCCATGTTAATCTCCGTAATTGTTTTTCTCGCACCCTTTTTGCATCTGCTCTGTCGGCAAAACACGGTTGCCAACTGCGGTTCCTATATATGGTCCCGGGCACCAGGACAGGCGCAATTAGGGCGTGGCCTCGGCCGGCACAAAAGGAGTGGTTGGGGAACTGAGAGCCGTCGTCGTAGACGTGTGACGAGGGGTGGGCAAGCCAAGTCTGCGAGGAGCTCGCTCAACCCAACGCCGCCAAAATCACGGTCCTTATCCAAACCTGCATGCATGTCTGTACAGGGGCCATGACTGCCCCTTCTAATATTCAACCGCCAGGGTCGACTGCATGGAGAGGCAGCTCGCACCCCACGAGAAGTCACGCTCCTGAAGCCAAAGCAGCTCCTTCTCCAGCGCTGTGGCACGTGCCCCCTGACCTGCATGACTTGCCCCCAGCGCTGGCCCAGAAGCTCATCTTGGCAATATTGCCGTTGCGGCGCAGAGGGCGCTTGTTGCCACCCTCGCTGGCCTTGCTGGCCGGCCTGAATGGCACCGCGGCCCTTGCCTGGTGGCCGCACGCCTTGGTGCGGCTGAAGTCAGCCGGCTGCCGCTGCGGGCCGGCTGCAAGGCCTGGGGCCGTGTCGGCTTGACGGCAAGCTTTTCCGACCTGCATGGAAAAAATCCTAGATAGACGTAGCATGTGTCAGCACCCTCTCCCTGCTTCAGTCTCCGCATCTTGGAGCGAGGGCGTTTTATCCACTTGCACGAGGAGGCTCAAGTCTCGCGTGCCTACACCCCCTTTTCTGGCTTGTTGTTCTGTATTTTCTTCTCCGTTAGGCTGCCCCTGGTTTTGGGTGATTTGGGCTGCGCGGCGGGCGCCGCAGTTGTGCATAGCTGGCTGGCGGGCCCAGTTGAAATAAGCCGCTTTTGGGGTGGTGAGCCCAGCTAAAACAAACCGACCTTTGACAGGCGGGGTTGGGAAAAAATAACAAAGAGATTCGGACCCCATTATCAACGATTAGTCGCCTCGAAGGACCGACCCCGTTGTCCACGGCCCGGCCAACCGCCTTGGGGGACCGACCGCATCATCAACGGTCAACCGCCTCGAAAAAAAAAACAAAAAAGGAAACTGGTAAGCCGTCCTCTGCGCCGCGCTAACCAGCCGTGCGTTCAGTGGCGTCCTCTCCGCGCGCAGTGGCGATGACACGCCATAAGGCCGTCTGAAGAAACTGTCCGGGTTAAAAACAGCTCTGCGCCAAGACCTTTGTGTTGGAGGCTGGGCCGAGGGAAAAAAGAACCGAAGAAAGAAAAACACAACAAACAATTCGAAAAGGGGGGCAATCCCCAATACCAACTGTCAACAACAGGGGGGCGGACCCTTACACCGACAACTGGGAGGACAGTTCCCGTCACCACCTGTCAACCAACCGCATGGCGTCTGACGCGCTGTGGGGGCACGGAAACCTTGCTAGTGGATTCGAAGCAAGCCGCGGGCTGATTCCTGCACTGTCCACTCCATCCGTGGTGTCTGTTGGGTCGTCCGCTGCTCATGGCGCGTCAGTTGCTGCGACGCCGCTTGGTGAAGTCCCGGACGGCGAGCCAAGTGACTCCGGAGTGGATGTCGCGCGCCTCTTTGGAAGCGTGACGTCCTCACTTGACTTGGTTGGGCCAGAAGCCCTTGTGTCAGCGTTGGACTCAGCTGGCCGGGCACGGGTCTACCACCGCCGTGCTGAAGGAGCAGCTCTCCACATAGCTCAGCGTGCAAAGAAGTGAGCCTACCATGATTTTCGGCTTAAGGCTCAAGTTCTGTTGGTTGGCTGCCTGTCCCTGCTTTGTTGGTTTTGGGTGTTGGTTTTGGTGGTTTTGGTTTCTCGTTTGCATTTTCTTTCGCGGCTGGAGCCACGGATTGCATTGTCCCACAAAACACACACACACAAGCCGGGAAACAAAAGAAAGAAAAACGACATAAACGGGGGGACAGGCCTCAACAACAAAGGTCAACCGTGTGCACAAGCCGGATCCCCGCCAGCTTGATGACGAACCGGCGGGCTCCTGCGCAGTGTGCCGTTTTGAACGTCGCGCGTGGGGGCAGGGGAGAGCAGCACCTTGGCCCGGTTGCTGTTGCTAATTGCACCTTGGTTGCATGGCGCACCTCAGGGCCAACCCCTTCCCAGCTGTCCGTGTGTCACAAGAAGCTGTGTCCCCTTCAGGCACACAACCTTCAAGCGGCGCCCAAGCTGTGCCTGTCCCAGCATGTCCTGCCCTTGTTCTGCCCCGGTTTTGGTTGACCCGTCTTGCCCCGAACTCGATGAAGCATGGCGCGCGTGCGATCAGCAAACTTCCGCGTGGGTCCCCGAGTCCGTTGCAACGCACTTTCCGACCCGCTGTTCCAGGACATCCCGCCCCAGCCCGCTTGAGAGCAACATGGGCCCTGAAGCGTTTGCCCAAGTTTGATGACTTGCCAGCGTCTTGGTTGTTGCTACTCTTTTGTTGCTCCCCCGCTGCAGCTACCTTGTCCGGATGCTCCCCCAATTGATTACGGCCGCGTACACACACAACCAACCCCTGTTGCTCTGGGGAAGGGAGCCCCCAAACCCAGCAGGATTGGTTAGGGAAGGCGGGCCGAGGTCAGGCAGAGTGCGCTGGCGGCTTCAGCCTTAGGGCAACCTCGGGCAAGAGGTGGGCAGGCTCATCCGGTTGGAGCTTGAGGATAACCGAATCCAATGCCTGGCATGGCTGCGCCGAGTGCCGCAGTTCTGCTGGGATCTCGGCAGTGTTTGGGGCAAGCCGACCGCTACTGTTGCGGCTGCGGCGACTGCATTGGCGGGACTTCGGTGACGGCGGCTGGCTCCACCGCTGCTGCGTGACGGCCCCACTGCAGGGCGCGCAGTGGGTGCTACGTGCTGCTGTGGGTGCATCCCAAGGGGCGACACGGAGAGTGTGTGCAGGCCCACTGTGTGTAGACGTGCCCCAGTGCGCCGGCCGGCGCGTGGAACCCTTGGTGCTGGTTTGCGGTTGCCCACTAGGCAAGGCCAGCTCAGCAGCGGTGAGCTGGCGTTCCGATGCGGCGACGGCCTGGTGGACCTGAACTGGGTGCAAGTTAAGATGGCCCGCAGGTGGACGGCAGCTGCGCATCAGAGGCTTAGAAGACCAAACCTGCCCAAAGCGAGCAGGGGCTTCCCAGTGCTGCGACGCTTCCCTGCGCAAGTTGCCCGCTGCAGCTTGGAGCCGCGGGACGGACAACCAGCTGTTGGCGCCACGGCAGGAAAGCATTTGGTGGGTGACCGCGGGCGCCCAACCGCGTTCTTGTGAGCCACACCCATACCTGGTGTTCGAGCACCGTGCGCAGCACAACATGGTGCCTCCGGCTCTGCGCTTTAACCAGCACTACCAGTTCAACAGGAAGTGCCATTAAAAAAAATGAAGTGCCATCACCAGCGCATGCCGGCGTTGCTCCACGGACACCGGCGCCAAGGTCTTGACAGCCGGCAGTGGCGCAATACGGGCGACTCGGGGTGAAGTGGGATGGTGAGACGTGTGACGTATCGCCAGACAAACAAGATCATAGCAGATGAAGACGTCCCTGGGCAAGGTGCTGTAAGGAGACGTATTGACTAGTGGATCGTGACTGAGTGGGGTGACTATTTCTTGTGGTTGCTGGATGTGGAGCTATTTACAAACGACATGTGCTGTGTCATGTTCGAGAACACGTTCAACCTCACCAAGCAGTCGGGGAAGGCGACTGCGTTGACGTATCCGGACTGCGTCCGCGTGCTTCTGTTGGGGTTCTTCGGGAGAAAGGCCGTGTCTAAGGGACAGGTGCGCAGCCAATCAAATTCAATGACATGTCCCATTGACGCTGCAGCTAGTTTTTGCGCAATATGCCGTGCTCATGTCATCACATGATATCACATGTCACCTCCCATTAATTAGGTCAGCTGTTCAGGGGGCTTTCTGCGATGTGGCAATATGTTCGTGTTTTCATGTCCGGCATGGCCGTTTGGGCTCAAGGGCTGAAGTCCCCCAGTCGCGGCGCACATTTCTTTACGCTGCAGGTGAGCCTCCTGTCACAAAGCTTCGGTGCTAGTTTAGTTTCGCCAAATGCAAGCGTTGGCACATTTGCCATGTATCCTTTCGGGTGGTGCCATGAGCCAGGCTTCTCTCTTGAGGATTTCTTAGGTCAGGCGGGCTAAGCTTCTTAGAATTCGCACGGTTACCAGCATATTCTTTGGCGCAATGCCTCCCAAACTTGATGCGGTGGAGATGGAGCGCCGACTTCGCGCAGAACTGCGAGCAGACCTTCGTGAGACTTGCCGCACCCGAAGTTGTGGTTGTTGTTGTTTGTTTTTGTTGCTGTGGCGCTAGCCTTTCTAGAGCCAGGGTCAAAATGATTCATCTGGCATCAATGCACTGATCAGTTCGATGCAAGGAGGAGCTGGAAGCACAACTCCAGCCATTGGCCTCCCGCCTTAGCATTCTGGAAGCCCTGTTCGGGGAGGAAGACTGCGCGTTGCTGAGTCAGAAGGACAGTGCAGTTCGAGACCTCGAGCTGTACCAATGTCGACCTTGCCCCATTGCCATATGTATATATATATATATATGTTTAAACTATCATATCAATTTATTTATTAATCCTAGGTGTCCATCACATTAAGCTGCTGCTACCAAGTCTTTGGCCCGCATGTTCCGCAATATAAGATGTTGTCACGAAAATGTGCAGCCGCAAGCGTCCAAATGCGCATCGCCACGTTGGGAATGGTTGGTGCCCTGACGGCCATGAAGCAGAGGATTTAGCCACTGCCCGCTAGATCCTGTTTGGAGAAATGGTGCCATTTGAAGAGCTTGTCGGGGGTGGATGGTTTGTGATGGTTTTGTGTTTCCATTGGCACGCTCGCAAGCTTGCTAGGAGCGTGCGAAGGTGTCAAAGCTTCCTGCGTCTTGGCATGGCTGGATTGGGACGAGTCACACGTCGGATTAGCTTCTGTGAGCTATCCCATGTTCGTGCAATTGTGCGGGTGTTAAGGTTCCCGTGGCAAAGCCCATGGTGAGCGAGTACACAGGGGACACATCAGAGGACGGATGCGGGGATCCTGGTATTTGTGGAAGGTTTGCACAGGGGAAGTGTTTGTTCACGCCGGGCGCATGAGTTGCCTTAGCTGGCGATGTTTTTGCAGGACCTCTTAACGACTCACGCCTGCTTCGAGGGGACTACGTGGAATGTGTTGCTGGTCCTGGGCCTGACCGATACGGGATGGGTGGATGATTGCATCGCCTGCCTGGTCCTCGCGGTGAACATTGTGATGCAGCTCCTGTTCTGCAAGACGATTCTGTCCCCCCAGTTTGCGGGGGGTTCCTTTTCCGACAAGACGAGTGCTGCCAAGAGATGGCGGGAGCTGGTGGGACACGATGCCAGCTACATGGACCCCACCCCCAGCAGCCTGGTGTCTCGGGTCTGCAATAACGACGAGACGCTGATCATGGCGCAGGCCCAGGCCTCGCTGATCAAGAACATCAACGCATACCTGGGTTTGGGGCACCTCGGATCTGAGCGGTGTGGGGGTTGTTGGACCCACCGACTTCCTGGGGCTTGGTGGAAAGGAACGCCAAAAGGAAAAGCCCAAAACATATAGGGGGGTTGCCCTATTTTGGCACATGCCCACGCGCGGGGTGAGCCAGGAAGTGCAAAGTGGATACATGTAACTTTAGTGCTAGGTTCCAGCTTTCCACGTGAATTTTCGCCCGAGGAACATGCAGATGCATGCAGGCTTCTTTGCCCCCGGCATCTTACTCTGCACCCTTTGCATCATGCAGTGGTGCCTCTACTTGTTTGAGGACTGGGATTTTCTTGCTTGCAGTGTTATGTGTTGTGGTTGATTATTGCAAGTCGTCACAAACTGAAGCATTGCGTTGCTTGAAAACCCCCCTGCTTGTTTGCGTTCTCTTCCCTTGTGCAGCCAATATTTTGCGCCCAGAAAAGATTGCATTGTGGAGCGGGGGGGGGGGGGAGCCCCACGTGAAGCTATGGCTCCTTTCCCGGAATGCGGGAGAGCCAGTTGACCTTGGCAGGCTCAAAGATATGGTTCCACTCCCCCCACTACTTATGCCAAGTCAGTAACTTACAAGAACCCAGTCACAAGTTGCCCCTAAGTGGAGTTAACCGTTAACCCTGTTACTGCTAGGTTGTAACCCAGGCTAACCACCTACTAGCTTGGCCGAACATCCAGCACGGAAAGGTGCCTCTCACTCTTCAGCTCTTTGGCTCTGTGAAGTTTTGCGTCAGGTTGTGATTGTGACTTCCCATGAACCCCCCCCCGGCCTAGGTCTGAGAAACTTGTTGTTCATCTTTATTTGGGGTTTTTAAAGTTTAGGTTTAAACTGGGGCCCCAAACCGGTCCAAGGTCCAATGGAGCCCTTTCACAACAGTTCTCCCAGAGCTTCGCAGGAGTTCCGCACCATTTTCCTGGCCACTCTGGCGATTTGGCAAGTGCCCCGCGCCAGCCGCACCGTGCTTCGCCTCGGCCGCCTCGCGAGCATCTGCCAGGCGAGTTGTTCGGAGGTCGTTGGATCCTTTCCAAGCGCCCCCCCCAGCTTCGCAATGATCAAAGCGGAAATCCAGGGTGCTTGGACCAACCCCCATGCTGTTTGAAAGGCTTCCGCATCCTCTTTTGCCAAGTCGAACCTTTAAGCCATCACCTGGCTGCCAAATAAATTACAGAGAACGTCCTTTGGGTGGGGCGACGTTAGGAAGTTCAATCAATAAGTGTAGCCCTGTTTGCAGCCCGCTTTAACATGAAATCAGACACGCAGGCCACTCGCACGGACATGCTGCTACCCACTTGCATGAGCCATGAGATCCTTCCTTTCGGCCCATCTCGTTGTGGTTTCCCGCACAGCTAGGATTTGCCAAGCCTCCATTTTGAGCAGATGTTCAGTCCCTTGTTCAGAGTTTCTTAGTGAAGTACGACGCACTGTGGGTGGACGAAATCCATGTCGCACTACTTAGAAACCATGGTTGCAACCATTCTTAGAGTGGCATCTACATCGGAGGAATCGAAACAGAAACTTTGGTATAAGTGATCTAAGAAGACGGATTGCGCATCCATCCCAGTTTTTCAGGCACCCCCGTCCAAATCCGACTCCGGGCGCGTGGGGCTCGTAGACTTGGTGACTTCAGGCGCGCTTCGTGGGGCATTTGGCGCTCACGTGCCTGCGCGCCTGCATCGCGGCCATGCTGCTGCATGCCGGCATCCTGTGGCTGGCAGGCCATCCGGGCCTGGAGCGGTTGGAGCGGTTTTGATGCAGCCCTTGGTGGCTTGGGTTCTTGGTTCGCTAGAAAGCTCCCCTCTTGGTGGCTTGAAACATCCAAGAGTGGGTTGCTTTTTGGTGTGATGCCTCTGGATGCTCTTGGAGCCCACCAATGAGACCAAACCTGGGGTGGAAGGGACGCTTCCAAATGGAGTGGTTTGTTGCGGGATTTTCTTGGCAACACCGAAAAGGGTGCTGATCTTCCAACCTTCAATGGCTCCTCGACGGGGGCTTTACTGGCCAACCCTTCTGTGCCGAAGTTCGACATGCTTTGTGATTGTTTCACGGGCCATGTTCCTGGAGCAGCCTGGGTCTACGGAGGTGCCAACAATTTGTGCTGGCCCTGAGAAAGGGTTTCAATCCTTTCTTTCATCCTACGGAACATGCCATCGCTTGCGAAAGGCTTGAAGGACCTTTGGGCAAGAACCACTTTCCCCGTTACAAATGACCCCAACAGGAAATTTGTGCTTATGTGTGTTATAAGTGTGTTCATTATTTTGCTTTGAGGAGCCTTTCCGAGGCTGGTTTATGAGGGAAACCACAAGGGCAACCCCATGTTCTATTGTTTCTTTGTTTGGGGGGGCGGGTTCCCCGGAATCCCCAGTTTCAGCGCACCCAAACGGTTCGAGAACCGCTTTTCCCCACCCTTTTCTGGTCTACAGGCACCACCTCCATAGCGGAGCTCATGGTGAACGGCGTGGCGCTGGTGGCTATCCTCGACGTGGACGAGAAGCTCTTCGCGTCGCTGATGCCCCGGCGCATCCAGGCCAAGGTGGACGAGCTGCACGCGGTAAAGCTCAGGCGATTCGGCCATTCGAGCAGCAGACCTGGATCCGCCAGTTGCGATCGCTTTTTCCAACCTTGGCCCCAAAAACCAGCAACAGTGACTGAAAAAGGCAGCAACCTGGCGATCTAGGTAGTTGTGCCCATAGTATGGCTATGCGTAGTAGGGTTATGTGACTGGTGATGCGGGTGCCAGTTATATCCTTAAGCTGTTTGAACCTCCAATTCGGTTGGCCGGGATGTTGAAAGATGTGTGTTCCTCCCTTGGGGAATTTACAAGTGCAGGCATGGGGAGCCAACCCCAAAATGGTTTCCCTTCAAGAATGGGTTGGACACGCTGCAAGCGGGGGCAGCACCTATTGTGTGGGTTCCCGAGTTCAAGGACAAAACACATTTAGGGTCAAACTATGGATTCATTGGCCGCCTGCAGGTTTCGGTTGGGACCACCCCCGCAAATCTACACTTGGGGGGGGAAGGGGTAAACATGATTTCGGCAAAACAATCGCCAAATCATGCCGACCCTGGATAAATCCTGGCAGATTATGATTCTAGAAGAGGTTCCTTTGATCGTCATTTTGCGGAAGGGCGCACGAACGCATTTCGCTAAGCGCAACCGCAGTGGATGTTTTGTTTGGTTTGCTGTGCCCTCTCCAGGGAATGCCAACGACAGTTTCCTGTCCGCACTTTTGCCTACGAAGGTTGGATTCACGACGTATGATGTACTAACCGGGCATTTCCCAAGAACGCGATATGTTTGCTCAGTCCAGCACGTTTACTGCCGCTGTTTCCAGGACCTATGTTCCAGTCAGGCTAGTCGGGCATGCGTCTTTTTATATATAGGTTCATTGAGCTGAATATACATGGCACTGGTTTCACTTTGGTTCAGTGATTGCCAGTGCCGCCTATTTTCCAAAAGGACGGCTAGACCTTTGGCCTGATGAAAGCTTGCGTCGAATGCGAGTCTTCATCACCAGTCCTCGGTTTCGCCCTTCGAAGCATTCAAAATGTCAGCGCAGGTGGAGCAAAACGCAGGGCCAGGTGGAGTCCTTGGTCCTCGTCGTTTGCATTGCAGGTGGCTCCGCTGATAGAGCCCGCCTTTGTTGATCTTGCGGAAGCGTCTGATTCGAGCCGAGGCAGCTTCTGGATTTCTTGTATTTGCAAATGGGCGGCCATAGGCTGATATATATCAGCTTGGCACCTCTAGGATTGCATTTTGTGTTGAGTAACTGCCCTGCAGAGCCCGCCTTTGTTGATCTTGCGGAAGCGTCTGATTCGAGCCGAGGCAGCTTCTGGATTTCTTGTATTTGCAAATGGGCGGCCATAGGCTGATATATCAGCTTGGCACCTCTAGGATTGCATTTTGTGTTGAGTAACTGCCCTGCAAATCAACGTGGAGGCCCAAACGGACTCCGGTTTCCCTGGCAAGGCTTTCGCGTTGAATGGGAGACACCCTTGAGAACGGGTTGGTGGACAAATATGCAAAAGGTACACGGACAATTTCTTTCGAATTTGCGGTGCGACTGGCGTTGTGATGTAAGGCCTTGATGGGAAATTGAAATTTCCGCGGAGGCTCTTGACTGCACCTCTGCCAACCCATGTTGGCAAGGACCTTTGTTCAGCCTGCTGGGCATGTTGGGTTGACCCTTACGTCTTGGTTTGCAAAGTCTTCCTTTCGGCGGCTGGCCAAGCACGCCATCCCAAGCTACCAGCAGAGAGTGAAGCACTGGACCCAAAAGCCAAACTTAAATCGGACCTTGGATCTTTTCACCAAAGCCAAAGGAACAGCCCCCCCCCATTTCTGCCGATGCCGAGGGTCCTCTTTGTGATTGATCAATCGGCCTCGGAGGCGTGCTGCTTTGGTCCTGCCTTTGTCTTCTGGTGCCATTGGAGCAGGCCATGCAAGCGGTAAAGCAGGAGTACTGCGGTGGTGCCAGGGACTTTGTGCTGAAGGTCAATCCCAACGTCAAGGTTCGCTCCTTGCAGTTGGCCCCCAGCATTACAAGTTAAAAGGAGGGGGTCTTAAAGGTATCACTGAAGTTCTGGCTTGGACAACTTCCAAAATGACCTTGAAGGCTTCATACGTCGCCAGGTTTGGGTTCCAAAACGCCAACAAGGCAGTTTGACAGCAACTTTTGGGGAGGCAATTCTTAAAATACTCTCGCTACATGTCCCCTTCTTCAATGGCCCAGTGAGCCAACTAATACTGTAATACTAAAACACACTTCCCCCGAAACCGGTCGGTCCTCGTCAGAGGTGCCGGTGACGCTGGTCACCGCCCCCTACTCCGAGCAGCGGCCCAGCCTCAGCGAGGTGGCCACCCGCGACGTGATGCGCGCCATGAACCGCCACCAGACCCCCACGCTGGCGGTGGTCACGCAGAGCCTCGGGGACTTCACCACCTGGCGCCGCGGAAAGAGTCGGGGAGTCCCAGAGGTTGGTCTCCGAGCCCAACAAAACGAGACTGATGTAGGAAAGCCTGAACATGAAAAGGGGTCAACACATGGGCTCTTGGTCTAAATACCATTACCCTGGGACGATTTGGGAGTTCCGTGGTTGGTCTCCGAGCCCACAACGATGTAGGAAAGGCTTGGATTTTGGTCTACCCTGGACATTCCAACTAGGTTGGGGATTTCTCCGAGCCCAGAACGAGACTGAGGTACTGTTGGATGGGGACAAAATCCATTTCGCACCACTTTGAAACCATGGTCCCGAAACCATTGTTTGGTGGTATTTACAGGTGAATCATCATGGCAGGGTTTCTTGGTGCAGGATTTCGTCCATCCACAGATGAAAAGGAGTCAACAAATGGGCTTGGAATGTCTACCCTGGACATTCCAACCAGTGCTAGCTTCTTGTAGTTTCAGTTCATGCCTTAGTTTGCAACGCACACGCCTGCAAATTGCCATAAATGCCTTGGCAATGAAGAAAACACCCGCAAATGGCCGCACAACGACCGCAAAAGAAACGTACGACAGCGCACATCCTCACAAAGTACCTAAATCGCCCAAAAAACGACTTAAATCGTGAAAACCGGGAGAAGGTACGCAAAGGAATCCCCAGGACCCCGTTTGAAGGAGGCCTCCTTTTAGAATCCATGGCTACTAAAGGGCTGAGTGGCGCGTCGGCTTGTTGCAATCGAATCCCTCTGGCTTTCTTCGCTTAAGGGTGGTTTCGCATGCCCTTCAGTCAGGTTTCCCTTTGGGTTTCCTTTGAGTCACTTGTTGTTGCTCTTTGGCACCTTGGTCGCCCAAAACCCAAAAAAAACAACAAAGAAGAAGAACGCCAACAAGCATATCAAACAGGGCACCACAAACACACATGTCCGGCACAACGAAGGAGGTGCCTGCGACAAAAAACTCTTGCGCACGTGGCTTGGCCCTGGCAGTCTTGCTACCCAAAAGGTGCTGAACACCTATAAGTGACGCAAAGAGCCTTCCATCCAAGGTCAAACCATCCGGAGTGGAAACCCGGAGTGGAAACTGATTGTGAGAGACCAGGTAAGGTTTGAGGCTTGAGGTGAACAAGTTTCCATTTTCCCTAGCCTGAGGAGCACCAGGTCCCTGAACAAGTGGTCCAGCGGCTACATGCAGAAATGCCTCAGCTGGGACTACCCGGTCTTCATCAACTCAGCTGCCTTCGCGGCTGGGCGCTCCCCGAAAGGCCCGGGCTGGTCAAGCCACACATCATTAAAATCGGACCATCTGACAACATCATCCCCGCCCCGTGGTTGAAAAACATGCGAGGATACACCTATACTCCTCCAAGTTTCTGCGGGTTGGACCATCAGCTTGCCACTGTGTGTGTGTCGCTTGGCGTTGTTCAAATCAAGCCTTCCTGATGCCAAGATGTTTTCCCTTGGATTCGTGAATTCGGGATCTCCCTGCTTGGCAGAGAACCCAGTGGCCACTTTGGCTGTACATCCGACAGCCAGCGCCCCCCAAGAAACCTCCCCCCACACCAAGACACGCGAGGCGTGACCTGTGAGAACCTGGCGGGACACTGCCAGGACCGAGCCTTCGTCGCCCAAACGGGCTCTCTCCCTGAGTTCCCTGGGCGTTCAGCTTTTGGGGCTTGGCCCTTTTGGCCCTTTTGGTTGTAAATGCAAAGTTTGGTTTATGTTTTTTTGGCGAATCCACTCGGGAAGTGAGACACACCCCAAGCACACCCCCTTGAAGACTAAAACAGGCAGCAAAAATAGGTTTGTTTGCAGTGGTGATGGCAGCTTTCTGTGGCCGTAGGTTGGAACGTCTTCCAAAGGCCTGTGCACTTCGGTGTTTGTTGGTTGGTGCATTTCTGGCCATTGGTCGTGTCAAGGCGGACACATCTCCGGAATCGAAAGCTCGCGAGAATCTCACGGCTCGAATCCACCCTCGACTTTATCTCAGGGAGACCATTCAACCATTCCGGTCTGCAAAGCGCCCGCCTTAGGACCCCGAGATTTCAGTCGTAAGCGACGGAATATACAGATCGCATGCGGGCCCGCTGAGAAAAAGCTCAAAAACAGCATTGAGGGCCAGTGGCGCGACCAAAACGTCCACGAAAGTGTCAATGCCGGATCCAATCGAAGGGAAAGGCGGATCCAATTGTCAAGGGGTATGTGCTGCCGCAAGACCCAAGAAAGACTGGATTCTCTTCAGAGGACCCCAGCGCCCAACTGCTGCGCGTGGTATGCCCCTTCACCTGCGGCTGCACGGACCCCACGTTGGCCTGGTATCGCTCGCCCTCTTCAGGTGAGCCGACCGATCGAGAAGAGGGGTGCCTACAGAAGGGGGCTATCAAGGAAAACACTTCGGCATCCCCCCCGAGTTTGGTGAGCAGTTTGAGTGACGCCGAACGATCCGTTGGGCCAGGTGATCTCACCAAAGGTAGAAGGAGCTCAGTTGCGTTGCTGGCAGCACTTGCTCCCCAAATCTTTCAGAAGAGTTGGGAGTAATTACTGCAGCTCGCGTTCAGCTCCCCAGGCCCAGCCTAGGACCCCAGTTGCCGACAGGTCGCACATCTTCACTGAAGCCCAGCCCCGTTTGTACGGCATACGCAGAATTCTTGTTTTGCTTGGCATGCCCTCTTGTCCACCGACATGGAACCCACTAGAGGGCCCATTTCGAAGGAACAGTGTCTTCCAGCACCCCCCAATCAGGTTCCATGTTAACGAGCAGGAGGGCAGATGTTGAAACCTGCGCCCTAAAGCCTAAATTTTGGACAAATGATACCTGAAAAGTTTTTCTTCTGGCAGTGGAGCTTCCTTTTTACGGCTCCCGCCCCCCCTGCCATGGGAGGCTGTCCCGCCGCCTGCCTCCGCGACTCCGAGAAGGCGACCGCGCGCATGCCCTGCCGGGACTTGGAGGTCAGGAGCCGGCGCTGGCGCCAGACCTGGCAGCGCTGGCCCGAGGCGGCCCGAAGAAAAACGCACATGGGACAGCCACCCAGGTGGGTGGGTAGGTCCCCCAGTTCCCTTGTACCGTTTCTTTTTTGGTTGGGAGGGGAACCCCCTAAAACAGACTACCGACGAAAGGGTACCCTTAGAGGGAAACGGAGTATGTTTGGGGTCCCCTACTTTAAGACACACCCAAGTGACCCCAAGTGATAAGGAACCAGAAGCCTGTCGGTTTAAAAGCATGGTTGTGGGAAAGATGCCACTTCATGAACTGCAAACTGATGCGTGGGGTGAGGTTCCACGAGGTTTCGTGGACGAGTTCTTGACACAAGGACTTCGCATCTGAGTTATGGGTGCGCAGCCCACCCCCATCCCCCATAGATGTAATAAAGAACCATACATGGTTGTGGCTGAAATCGTCGGCTTGTTAGCTACAAGGGATCCCCGAAGTGAAAGTCGCTATCAGGATGGGAATCCCATTTCGGTATCTCAGACCATGATGCTTCCCAGAACCTGGCGTCAACCTTGGGCCACTTTTTGGTCCGGGCACTTTGAGCCCTTTTGACAGCAAAATATTTTGCTCCATCTTGAGTCACCCGAAAGTTTCGCATTGGCTTTGGTCCGCAGCTTTGTGGCTAGCCATCCAGGGGGGGGTGGAGGGGGGGGGGGGTAGGAAATTAGTTGAAGCGATAAAGCCCAAAAGGATCCCCCTTGGCAGGGAGGCCACACATATTTTCCATTTGGTGGCCCAGTCCTGAGCTGCGAACTTTTCGTCTTTGCCCTGAGCACCACTTTGGGGTTCCTGCCAGCTACTCCTGTTTGGCTCATGCCAAGGTGGCAGTCTTCACCTTTCAATTGGACAAAGTCACCGGCCAGGCCGGCTTGGCAGCTGCTTTGCCTGTGACAGCGGGGATCAAAACGTGCAAGTACGAGTCCATGTAAAAACCTGGTCGGAACCTTTTTTTTCTGGCTGAACATGCCGCTGGCCGGAAGGAACACTTGATGTTCCGACTGGAACGGTACGGTGACCTGTTGAAAACAAAAAACACAAAAGGATGGAGGTACCAAAACTACTGTGGATGCTTGCCTCTGAATTTCTGATGAGTGGCATTTTGGAGTGTGTCACATTTCTTGGCGGCAGCAGTAGTTACGAAGTTGCGCTTTCCCACGCTCAGGGCCGCCATCACTGGAAGCTGCTGAAAGACCAGGCAGAGCGACTTCTGGCTGGGGGCTGCCCCTTGCTGGCCACTGAGAAGGTCCACATCTACTTCAATAGCTCCTTCTGCCGCTCAGTTGCCATCGGGCTTCGGTCATTCCATCCCAGGCCACCTGAGATGACTCCCATGATTTTCAAGGTGTTCCCATGGTATCCACTGCGTGCCAGGCCTTTTGGGCCTTTGTGTGCGTATGTTTGTGTTTGTGCATATGGATGGCTGAGAATGTTGCCGTTAAAGTGGGCCGTTTGGTTAGCCAGAAACCGCGTGAGGCATTTCCAGGTGTGCTGGTTTTTGAACCCGACAGCAGAGCAGTGGACCTTCTTCTGGTGGGGGGGGGGGGTGGCTTCCAGGGTTGGGGGCGTGGGGGCGGGGCTCCAAGTTTCCTTGTTGCGCGGCTCCACCAGGTTGCACTGAGTGTGCCGTGGGTGGCCATTGTCTGAACTTGAGATCTTTGGGAACGCTTGGTGCTGCCACGGACTAGCAAGACCCCTTATACATATTTTTCACACAAACAGTTATCTCACCGTTAAATTTGTGTCTGGATGAGTGGCTCCCAGCTTTCCTTTGTTATCCATGAGTCCATGAGGGACCCCAAACCCCAAACCACCAAATCTGGAGGCTTGGAGGTGTCGAACTGGGAGGGGACATGCCGAACAGACGCACGAAATGTCTTTTGCAGGGCGTGCTACGGCTCAGTGCTACGCACAGGACACCCACACAGCAATGGAGTTCTCCTGACACCCGCCGCAGAGTCCTTGGGTTGGTTATGTTCCAAACCTCGATTTGGAAGGTTCCGCTACTTGGAGACAATCCCTGCAGACAACTTGTTCTTGTCAGCTTTTGATCAGGATTATCCCACCCCCCCACCCCCCACCCCCCACCCCTAGACAAGTCCAAGAACTCTCTTGGCCACTCCATGATGCTTGGCGAACAAGCTGCGTTGAAAAATGGCCACCATGTTTCTTTTGCATCAGCTCTCTTCATTTTGGGCGGTTTGGGGTAGGTGGTTTCCTCTCCATTTGCTCAGGTCAGGGCGCCCGCGGCCTCTTCTCTTCCCTGGCGCCCCTCTGCCCCGAGACCTGCGGATGTCGAACTTCGAGAGCCGGCCACGGCGACGGCCCGCAGGATTGCCCTCTGAGCTGCGCGTAGCGGACCGCTGCCCTCGGCCAAAGCCGCGGCCCAGAATGTTAAGTGGCTACGCGTCGGCGGCGCGGATGACGAAACGCCCGTCAACATACATTCCCATACCAATGATGCACCCACAGCATGATTGCTTTAGAGAGAGTTGGAATATGTTCATGCCACCCGAGTTGCTAAGGTCCGTCTTAGATGGACCTTGGAACCCAGAAGCAGTTAATGAGTTCGAAGGTGCCGTCTTGCAAAGTCTCAAGCGCGGCTTGGGCACGTGTGTCCCAAAATGTCGCCCCTCGTTACTGGTTAGTGCTCAGTGAAGCCAACTATAAACCAACTAGGTCAGGTTCCCTAAATTTTGAGCGAACAGGAAGCACCAGTTGATAGTCTCGTTTTGGAAGGCACCCAGAAGCTCAGCCGCTTTGCCGCATGCTCGCTTGGGTGAGAAAGGCGTGCGTGCATGCGTGATCGTGCGCACGATTTTCCGGAGCGGTGTCAATGAGAGGGTTGTGGGGAAGGAAGTATGGCAGGCGTTGCGCCGGCTTTTCTGTATTCGACCTCTCCAGGCTCTGACCCGCTTTTTCCCCACCAGGTTAGCTCATAGGGGAAGATTTCCAGAAGCCCCGGAAGCCTCCAAAAAGCCCGGTTCATGCGACCTAGGATATGTCAGCACTCAACAACACACCCAGCTGCCAGTTTTTACCAGCCATGGCGAGCGAAGAGCTCTTGGAGCGCGCGTCAGCAGGACGGCACCAGGACTGGAAGAGCAGCCAGCCTTATCCCAAAGAAACAAGCTCAAGACACGACGACTTTCATAGGTTTCTTTTATGAGTAGTGTTTGAGGACCGTGCCTTTGTGCAGAAGAGATGCTTTTGCCAGCATGCATCCTCTGCCTTCAACCGTTTGATTTTCTTTGCCTTCCATCGCGCCCCTTAAAGAGGTCCGTTTCCCCTGCCAGTTTTTGGGGAGCTGAATCGGAACACTTGGGCCTTGTTGGGTTGGGGGGGGGGGCCACCCCAACAACTGAACCTCCAGGTTTGGTCTGTTTAGGTTAGTTCGGCTAAGAATGGATGGGTTCCACTGGTTTGCATGGGTTTTCTTCCATTGACCAGGGGAACCCATCTATTTTCCCGACCGGCCACCTACGTTTGGTCCATGGCTCTCCCCCCACGTGTCAACGGCAGGGCGATCGATCGCCAGGACGTCCAGCGCCTGCTGGAGGAGCGGGCGGACGTGGAATGGGCGGACCGCGGCTCGGTGAGCAGACGGACGGCGCACTTTTCGAGTCGACCAGGGTGGAACAAATGGTTAAGCGCCTGCTTCTGAAATGCCAATTCTCTTGAACTAGGTCCCCCAGTGGTGCAATTTTACCCTTTTTGACCAGGGTGGCAAAAACGGTTCGAATCTTGCATATCTACATGACCAGGCAGCATGGAACAGCACAGGCAGCGCATAGGGCATAACAAGGAAAGGCATCGGAAAAATGTAGTGACAACGTAGTCATGGAATTCAGCCACTTGGCAACACAGAAACGTTATTATCCCTGACCCTGCTCGTGACCTGATGTTGGTTGTCAAACATGTTGGAAAGACCTCGTGTTTCGGGAACCTCCTTTCGGTTTCCCTTAGGGCGTCATGGTCTGTCAGATGAAGCAAGTCCCTGCTGATTGATTTTGGATCCGTGGAAGTTGGGCGCAGGTTGGGGGGAGATGGGGGGAGATGCCCGTTTTGTTAGAAACCCGAAGGCACCAACGCTGTTGGAGAGTCTCAACTATGTCAATCTGTCTAAAGTCCAAGTGACATCTGGTCAAGTAGCAATCTCTATTGGTTTCCCGATATGATATAATGATTCATTTGCAAGTACGTTCCTTGCATCACCAGAATTTGAACTGGTTGTCATGTGTTCATCCCCTAATTAGCTACCATATGTTTCCCAACTAGCTTGACCTGTCATGCATGATAGTCAAATGCCTTGCAAAGAGAGGTACGATGGATGCCCCTGCACTTTTGCTAGCATGGGAACAAGTAAACCCTCTAATTGTTCATCGTGATTTACCCACGGTTTTGTGGGTGAACATGGTTGGTTTACCTGCAATGCTCGTCAAACATAGGATCCCCCCCCCTCCCCCCAAAAAAAACAATAAATAACGGCACACCAACCAAACAACACATGGTGGGTTTCCATTTGGTTTTGCTTGAAATCTACCCACATTAGGTCCACCAATTTCCGTGAGTCCGTGGATCCGAAGCGAGGCAACGGGTACACGGCCCTCTCGGAGGCGGCCATGGCGGGCCACACCATCGTGGTGGGCCAGCTGCTGAGGTGCGAAGCACTCGATCCGCGCGGGGGGGGGCTCCGAGTGAATCGGCGGTTGTGCCTCCCCGGTGGGAAAGGTGGAATTTGGACCATTATAAGGGCATCACCAAAACACAGAGCGGGTATACACCCATTTGGGTGTAGCTGATGCGTTTTTTTTGTTCTCCGATTGGACCCCGGATGTAATCCATGTGACGCCCCAAGCTTTCGCCCAACGCGGTTGCCCTGTCAGCTCCATTTTCTGCCGCTTTGGCAGGCTTGCACAGGTTTCCCTTTAACAAGGGAGCTTTTGCGTTCTTTGGCCCCGAGTTGAGCCAGAATCGCCTTAGTACGTGAAGGTCAGGCTTAAAGTGGAAGCCGCATTGAGGGAACCCCCCCTCCCGCCAATGCAGAGGTTTTAATGGGGTGAGCTCGCTTTATCCACAAATGGTGAGCTCATTGGAATGCGTCCAGACAAGATGGGTGAATGAATTTGCCTTTCCAGAAAGAGAGGAAAACCACGAGGAAAAACATGGGCAGGCCCTGGCCAACAGGAAGGACACCATTGTATAGGGGTGCCCTATTTCAGGAAGTGCCGAACTGTCGCCCAGATGATGAGTCAACCTCGGATTTACGTGGATCTAGGTGCATTTAATTTGGGGAGGGCCCGGGGTTTTGCGGAAATGAACCTAGGCATTCCTCAAAGGAATCCCCAGAGAATGGATTTGTTGGGGTCATTCCATTTCTCATTCCCTGCCTTTTGGAACCAAAGCGCAGGGCCTTGGCGGACCCCAACTCCCAAGCGGTGGACGGGCGCTCCCCGCTGCACCGCGCCGCGGTGCACGGCTGGCTGCCCATCGCGCGGCTTTTGGTGGAGCACGGCGGCGACCCCGAGTTGGCGGATGACGATGGGCGGACCCCGACGCAGCTCGCCGCCAAGGACGGAGCTTCAAGCGGTGCCCAGGCGACCTCAGAAGTGCCCCGTTCCAGTGGAGATCAATCCTGTTGATTATATGCGGGTTATGGCCCAGGTGGCTAAGCACCGTTTCTCTTTTGGTTTCGTGTTTTTTGTGGGGGCATCCCTGGTTGGCCTTATAT